AGCAGAGAGCTGGATAGGAAATGGAGCGGCCCAGTCTTGAACCAGCGCCCATAAGGGATGCCGGCACTGCAGGCAGCAGCTTTACCCACTACACCATAGCGCCAGCCCCTCCCTGAGTCTTTTTACATTTGATTTCTGTAACGTCCACATTTTTAGTTGTCCTTACAAGAGTGCTAAAAGTACATCTTCTCAATTTTCCAATAAATTTCTTATTTCTTTAAGATTTATTTTTCTTAATTAAAAGGCAGAATTACAGAGAAAGAGTTAGAGAGCTTCCATCTGCTGGTTCATTCCCCAAATGGCCGCAATGGCTGGGGTTGGGCCAGGCCGAAGCCCGGAGCTGGGAGCCTCATCCAGGTTTCCCACATGGGTACAGGGGCCCAAGCACTTGGGATATCCTCCACTGTTTTCCCAGGCACAGTATCAGGGAGCTGGATCAGAAATAGAACAACCAGGGCTGGAACTGGCACTCATGTGGGATGCCAGTGTCACAGGCAGCAGTTTAATCTGTTGCACCACAATGCCAACCCTTCCAAAAGAAATTCTATATAAGAAATTATGTGGAAAGTGTCGCTCCCCGTCTTCGTGGAGGAACGACACAGGACCCTGCGTTGTTCTTTTGTCTGCTCGGCCCTCCCCGGGTTTGCTGCTGGTTCTTCCCGGGTTGGCTGCTGGTCCTTCCCGGGTTTGCTGCTGGTCCTTCCCGGGTTGGCTACCGTCCCTTCCACCTCCGTGGAAGGGCGGTTCCCCCTGCCACATTCCCCACTTCCGCGGGGGAGCGGCACACCGCTGGCCGGCTCTCTCGGGGGCTGCACAGGTGTTCCCCTTAGATGTTCCCCTTAGATGTTCCCGGTGCATGTTGTCTCTCTCCTCCTTTATAGTCCTCTTCCACCAATCCCAACTCTGCTACCCACACGCCGAGTACGCTGCTCTCCTCCAATCAGGAGCAGGTCCTGCTGTTTATTGGTTGAACTGGAGGCAGCTGTGTAGAAGCTGCTTCTCCCTTCTCAGCGCCATATTGTGGGAGAGCAGATGCATAGAATAAGTCTTAATTCCAGTAACTCAGTCCAGTCCGGGTTGCTCCCCACAGAAAGAACTTTTGTATCTTTCAATTGTAAATATTTTAAAGTATTTTTTATGATTTCTAACCCATAACTTATTTATGTGGTCTTTTATGTTTGATTGTTTTTAAGTTTTGGAATATAGAGGTGTTAAGCTTCGTTTTGTTGTGGTCTAACTGGTGGCTAGTGGTTGTGAAAGCCAGAAAGGGACATGCATTCTCTCACTGGATGTGGGGCTGTGCCTGAAATTAGGCGCAACAGCTGTGTTCACTTTGATTGCGTCAGCACTGTCCTAGGCAGTGAGGATGCAGCAACAAACGACACGACCAGAAAGCTTTCTGATGCACATTGAGAGAGAGAGGAAGACAGTGCAGCATTAAAATACTTGGTGTTTGGTTGGTGTTATTTGCAGGACAGAGGAGAGAAGGTGTACAAGATGAGGTGAACTTTCCTGTTGTAAAGAAGGTTGTCGGGGCAGTCTCACTGCTGGCCCTGAAGGACCTGCAGAGTTTGGGGGATGGACTTTGGGTAGAAAACACAGCCTTCCTGGCCTCGCTTTCCCGTGCATAAAGCACAGCTAATTGTGTGGGCAGCAGTGTCCTGCCAGGGAAATGATGGGCCTGCGAGCCTCACGCTGGCTGGTCTGTGTCCTCGCCACGACAGCCGTCTGTTGTGAAGGGCTGGAAATGGTGATTCCCGGGATGCAGGTTTGACCCAGAGATTGTGTGGCTGTGGGGTGAGCAAGAGGGGAGGAGCCGCAGGCTTGGGGATGGTAAAGTAGGGCTCGGAGGAGTGGGGATGCTGCCTGACCTTGCATGTTCTCCTTGCAGACTCATGGAGAGATTCCTCATGGATGGATTGTATCCTTCAGAGTTGGAAACACCTGTTCCTGTGGCTCTTCCCGTACACACAGTCACCGCTGTACATCCCAGAGTTCACTCATGTTGGGGTTTGTTTTACATCAGGAAGGCGGTAGCATCACTAGCGCGCCCAGTCTAGGACAGATGCCTGGATTCATTCTTGGAACCTTTGACTTTTTTTTTTTTTTTTTTTTTTTTTTTTTTTGACAGGCAGAGTGGACAGTGAGAGAGAGAGAGACAGAGAGAAAGGTCTTCCTTTGCCGTTGGTTCACCCTCCAATGGCCGCCGCGGCTGGCGCGCTGCGGCCGGCGCACCGCGCTGATCCGATGGCAGGAGCCAGGAGCCAGGTGCTTTTCCTGGTCTCCCATGGAGTGCAGGGCCCAAGCACCTGGGCCATCCTCCACTGCACTCCCTGGCCACAGCAGAGGGCTGGCCTGGAAGAGGGGCAACCGGGACAGAATCCGGCTCCCCGACCGGGACTAGAACCCGGTGTGCCGGCGCCGCTAGGCGGAGGATTAGCCTAGTGAGCCGCGGCGCCGGCCCGGAACCTTTGACTTTTGACAAGTCACTCAAGGTCTCTGATCTCAAAGCTTGGGGCCCTGATTTATTTTTTTAAGGCAGAATGACAGAGGGAGAGACAGAGATTTTCCATCCACTGGCTTACTCCCCAGATGCCCACAGCAACCAGAACTGGGCTGGGCGGGAGCCAGGAACTCTGTTTGAGTCTCCTGTGTAAGTGGCAAGAACCCAAGTACTTGGGCTGTCACTTGCTGCTTCCCAGGGTTCACATTAGCTGAAAGCTAGTTTGGAAGGGAAGTAACCTTGCCTCAAACCAGGCACTGCTATGTGGGCTGTGGGCGTCCCTGGCAGAGACAACCACTATGCCAGAGTCATTCCATTTACAATCTGCTCCAAAAGAAAAGGTGGGAAAGGACGTGCTCCCACCAGCACCTGCCCTCCCACCCCTTCCTTCCCTCGCGTTCCTTCATCTCTGCTCCTTAATCAGAGTGCAGTCGGCCACAGCAGCTATCCACATACGCCTTGACCCTGTACAAACACACAGCCACAGTGGGCGGCAAGACCATCCTCGTGGGTGAGCAGCACGGGGTCCAGCCGTGCCAGCCCTCAGGAGGGAGGGTTTGGGAGAAGAGGGGAGGTGTCAGTGGTTCATGGGGAGGGGGAGGGGGAAACAAGACCCCAGGCAGGAACAAGTGTCTGTAGAGGCCTGAAAGCCAGCCTGCCAGGAATGGTGGCGGGAGTACACAGGGGCGTGAAGCTCTCAACTAGATCCAGAACAGCTGTACCTGCCAGAGGGAGGAGGAACACAGCCTCTGACAAGGCAGCCTCTTTCCTCGTTCCCCAGGTCCTCATTCAGCCTGTGTAAAGAAAGAACTTTCTCTCCCACACAGGCTTGACCTTCTGTGAGGTCACAGCCTCCTCTGGGCCAAGCCATACCTCCAACAGGACTGGGTTGCCCATCTGTGGTCATGCGTGGATTTGGGGGGCCCTGCATCTTGTGGGGGGGCATCTACCTCCCCTCTCCTGAGGCTTCCTATCAGCACTGTCCTCCTAGCCCTGTGTCCTTCCATGCACACGCAGTGCATACATCTCATGGCACATGCAGGTGCACTGTCCCCTAAGGACACACCTGGGAAGCTGTGTGATATCTGTTCACCCACGTGCTCCCCACATGCATCCCTGACGTGCTGTGGTTGTGTTTCTTCCCAGAAGTGCTGGGGCATGTGAGTCCGTCCTCCAGCCCAGCAGGCATTTAGAGCTGTGTTTGTGTTTCAGACTTTTGGGACACAGCAGGCCAGGAGCGGTTCCAGAGCATGCATGCCTCCTACTACCACAAGGCCCATGCCTGTATCATGGTACGAGATCAGCTGGGAAGTAGACAAAGGCCCTGGCAAATCTGTCCTGAGGGTGTGTGGGAGAGGGGTCTGGGCCCTGGGGGTCCTGCATAGCATGTTTCTCCCCAGAGCTTCTGAGTGGGAACGTGTCAGGTGGGGTGAACGGAGAAAAGGTGGAGAACTACCATCCTAAGGGGAACAGCAAGCGCAGGGCTTCAGTGTCAGGTGCAGCATGCAACAGGCAAATGTGGCTGAGACACAGCCCCTCCCTAAAGGAGGCCATCCCCTCAGCTCCTTGGGCTGCTGCTTCTCAGGCGACTTCACCTCACACAAGCCCCTTGCCTCCCACCAGTTCCCTTTAAAAAAAAAGATTATTTTATTTGAAATGCAGAATTAGATCTTCTGTCTACTTGTTCACCACCCAAATGGCCACATCAGCTGGGGCTGGGCCAAGCCAAAGCCAGGAGCCTAGAACTCCATCTAGATACCCCATGTGGGTGGAAGGGGCCCAAACACTTGGGCTATCATCTGTTGCCTCCCAGGTTGCATAATCTAGGAGCTGGCTCAGAAGTGGAACAGCCAGAACTCAAACTGGTGCTCATATGGGGTGATGGTGTCACAGGTGGTAGCTTAACCTACTGTACCACAGTGCTGGCTCTGACCCCTCCCTAGCTTCTTTTGCTGACCAAGACACAGTCCTCAGGTTCAACCCCAATAGCCACGGTGTGGTCAGTGCCACAAGAAATGTGGCTGTGGAAAGGGCAAAGAAATGAGAAAGGAGCAACATAAACCTGTGTTTTCTGGGAGCTTCTGTCCATGGATCCTCTGTCTTACTCTCAGGCCACCACATTTAGATGTTTCAAAAGAGCATGATTTCACTTTGGTTCACTTCTAAAATGTTTTCAGGAATACCAGCCATCTATAACCCAAGAAACAAGGACTGGGGCTGACGCCGTGACATAGCAGGTTAAGCCTCCACCTGTGATGAAGGCTCCAGTTCAAGGCCCGGGTGCTCCACTTCCAGTCAGCTCTCTGCTAATGCACCTGGGAAAGCGGCAGAAGGTGGCCCAAGTCCTTGGGTCCCTGCACCCACGTGGGAGACCCAGAGGAAACTCCTGGCTCCTGGCTTCGGCCTGGCCTAGTCCTGGCCATGGCAGCCATTTGGGGAGTGAACCAGCAGATGGAAGGTCTCTTTCTCTAACTCTGCCTTTCAAATAAATTAAAAAAAAAAAAATTAAAAAAAAGATGACTGCTTTTCTGGTTGATGATCCATGGCAGTTTAGACTAAGTGAAAACCTCCGTCATTCAAACTTAGCAAACTGCATTCAAGGTCTTGCATTGGCACAAAGCAACCATTTCTAATGGGTCAGGAATCCATAATGTCTGGGGCTTCAGCTAAGACCCCAAGACTGGGTGATAGGCTGGAACTGTATGGAAGCACCTTCAGAGGTATGCTGTTTGTTTATTTGAAAGGCAGAGTAACAGAGAAGGAGGGAGAGACAGAGAGATCTGTCCCTTGGTCCACTCCCCAAATACCTGCAAAAAGCCAGGTCTTGACCAGGCCAGAGCCAGGAATTCCATACAGTTCTCCCATGTAGGTGGCAGAGGCTCAAGTGTTTGGGCCATCATCAACTACCTTCCAAGCACATTAAGCAGAAAATTGGACCAAAGTGGAGTAGCAGCACTCCAGGATGGGATGCAGGCGTACCAAGGGCTTAACTTGACATGCCACAAAACCAGCCCTGCTCTGTTCCGCCCACCTTCCCCAGCAGCTGCCTGCAGTACGCACAGTGTGCAAGGTAAGGACCGTGGCGTGAGGAGGACCTGCAGCTGAGCGGGTGTCTTCCCGTGTGTCAGGAGCAGCAGCAGGAACTCGCAGGTTCTGCTCTTCTGCACACCTTCCTCTGTGCTGCCCCTACCTCACAACCTTTGCCTGTAAACTCATTTTTTTAAACTATAACAGTGCTTTCTTATTTTTATTTATTCATTTATTTTTGACAGGCAGAGAGAGAGAGAAAGGTCTTCCTTCCATTGGTTCACCCCCCAAATGGCCACTACGGCCGGCGCGCTGCGCCCATCTGAAGCCAAGAGCCAGGTGCTTCCTCCTGGTCTCCCAGTGGGTACAGGCCCCAAGCACCTGGGCCATCCTCCCTGCCTTCCCGGTCCACAGCAGAGAGCTGGACTGGAAGAGGAGCAACCGGGACAGAATCCGGCGCCCCGACCGGGACTAGAACCCGGTGTGCTGGCACCACAGGTGGAGGATTAGCCTAGTGAACCGCGGCGCCGGCCACGTAAACTCATTTTTCAGGCTTGCATAAATGTCACCACCTCCAGGCCACCTGCTCTGATACTTGTCTGCGTGACCACAGCACTCTGACTACGTCGAGCACGTGGATTCTGTCCTGTGCGTGTGTAAGATGCCACGGGTAGAACAGCTTGGGAGCCTCCCTCAGGAGCTTCTTGGGGAGGGCATGCCGAGCCCTCCCTCCTGGCCCTTTGCAGAGGGTAAAGGAAGGAGTTTATCCCCTGACTCCTCCCATAGTCCTTTAGGCACAAAATGCCTTGAAAACTTGCAAAATGTTAATATTAATGACTGCAGGGGTTATGGGGTAAGGCAGATGGTCCTTGCCTTTCGGTTTCAGCCCTGCTCTGGCATTTTCTGTTTGGAGCTCACTTTTCCTCTCTGGGAGTGACCTCCTCCTGCCTCTGACACGTTTTCATTGGCTCCTGTCAGACCCTCTTCCTGGGGCTGCGAGTTTTTGCCCTGCCAGCATCCCTGTATCTTGGGTGCCTCCAGCTGTGGTCTGCTGTCCAGGGCCTGGCAGGGAGAATGTACTCACTGCCGTCCCAGGGAGTCATGGAAGGAGCCCTGATGAAGGTGTACAGTTGGCAAGAATGAGAGGTTACTGAGGACATCGGACATGGACAGATGATGACTGAGCCTGGTGGGAAGCAGATTCCAGAAGCTGCATTACAAACATGCTTCAAAAAGAAGCCGTTGTTGGGAATTCATTATTGGGGCTCATCATCACTCACTGAAACTGGGCCTGGGAAGTGCCATGGAAGAGATTCCAGCTGTACTTCTCGACACTTCTCGAAGTATTTTGGCTGCTGACTCGCCCACCACGTGCTGGACGAGCCCCTGGGCTGGGTGATTGAGAAATCTGGTAGCTGTTCCCACAGCTACCAGGTTGTTGTCATCCATAACCTTTATGGAAATTTTTTATTTGAGACAGATAGAGTTCCCATCCACTGGTTCACCCCCTGCCCTCAAATACCCACAACAGCTCGGGCTAAACCAGGCCAAAGCCATGAGCAAGGAATTAAACACAGGTCTCCCATGTGGGTGACAGGAAGCCAGCTGCTCGAGCCATCGCCTGCTGCCTCCCAGAACACATTAGTGGAAATCTGGAATCAGGAGGGGCACCCACCAGCAGCTTAGCAGCTGTGCAGACGCCTGCCCCATCTGTGATGTGACCGCTGACTGGTACTGGGGTGCTTTGTGGATGTGAGTCCGGGAGGACCTCCTGTGAGGGGCTTGAAGGGTTTCTGCAATGGCAGCTTGGAATCTTTCTGAAGATCTTTGCCCTCGGAGTGGCCTTCAGGGCTTGTGTTTCTTCCTGATGTTTTTAAGTAGGTGAAAAACAATGGAAAGTTAATCAATTATAAGCTATTAAATAATTCAGAAAAATTACTTTTAAAAAATCCAAAATACGAAATGAACTCAAGAATAAAGAAAAGCTTAAAAGTCATAATTACTAAAGAAAAGTTCTGCAAGCACTTAAATTTATTAGAAAGGGATTTTAAAACAGCCATAAAAATAAGAAAAAACAAAAATTGTGTATAGCCACTGCCTGCAATACTGGCGCCCCCTAGTGGAGTGCCAGTTTGAGTCCAGCTCTACCTACAGCCATTTGGTAAGCGAGCCAGTAGATGGAATATCTCTGTCTGTCATTCTGCCTTTCAAAGAAAAATTAATTTTTTTAAAGAAAGTATAATTCTAACCTTGATCAGTAAATCAGTACAGTTTATAATGGTTGAATTAGGTAAATAGGATTAGATGACAAGATAACAAAAAAGGAATAGAAGATTTCTAAAAACACCTTTGGATTTGAAGGCTCAGAGACCTTGCAGGGACACGCAGGTGTAATCCTGTGTGATCAGAGGAATTACAGTTCAGAGCCGGTACCCAATCTGAACTCCCAAGCTGATGGCTTGTCTGCTTGGGTGTATGTGTCACCTGGAGGTGGGGTGCAGACGTGGGTGAACCTGAGCTGCCGTCCTTTGCCCTTGGCAGGTGTTTGATGTGCAGAGGAGAATCACCTATAAGAACCTGAGCACCTGGTATGCCGAGCTTCGGGAGTACAGGCCAAAGATCCCGTGCATCGTAGTGGCCAATAAAATTGATGGTGGGGCCATCCCTGCACCTGGGCATCAACAATTCATGGGGGACCCGCTGCTGCACATTCCTACTTTTCCTGGGGTGGGCAGCCCTGTGATCCAAACTGCTCCCCAAGACACAGCCTTTGCATGCATTGCTCCCTTCCCAGCTTGAATTCTCCAGGGTACACCACCTGGCCATCCCTGCATATCTCACTCTCTGGGATGGGGCCCCTCCCTTTTCCTTGATGGACAGGCCAGTGTCCCACTCTTCTCTACAGCAGACATAAAAGTGACCCAGAAAAGCTTCAATTTTGCAAAGAAATTCTCTCTACCCCTGTATTTTGTCTCAGCTGCTGATGGCACCAATGTTGTGAAGGTAATAGTAGCATGCAGAAGTGGGCTAGTGAGATTGGGGGCCAGGCGGTAAAGCCAGCAGGCAGAGTCGAAGGGCTAGGGAGGATAGGGGTAACGTATGGGCATGTGTATCAGGGAGGGGAGGGGAGGGGAGGGAGGGGAGGGCCCGGGCTTGAAGCAGAAATGCATTGACCGTATGTGGTTTCATGGTGATGGGGAAAAGGTGACTTGAAGGGTGAGCCTACTTACTCTAGCAGCAGGGTCCAGGGCCCGCCTACTGACTGCTACACCTTGCTTCCACCACGTGTCACCCCCAGCTCTTCAGTGATGCAATTCAGTTAGCTGTGAACTACAAACAGACCTCCCCGGACTTCATGGATGAAGTTTTGCAAGAGCTTGAGGTAGGTCAGGAGACATTTTGGGTGGGGCGGGAAAAGCAAGAATTCTCTCCGAGATACACAGTATAGTGGCCCTTGCATGCTTTTGCTCCCCCCAAATAGCCACAGCTGGGCAAGTGCAGAGCCCGGCCTCACCCGTGACCTTGTTCACAGAACTTCAAGCTGGAAGAGAAAGAGGAGAATGTGCCAGACCAAGAACAGAGTGGCAGCATCGGGAGCCCCTCTCCCTCCTGAGTCAGCCTCCGGGGTTTGGGGAGCGGGATGGGGGGCTTTCAGAAAACCCTCCCCTTTAGAACCTTGCAGCTCTGAATTAGGAAACTCCAGGCCATCTCCTCCTCCAGCTGCTGCAGACCCTGCCACCCACTTGCCTCTCCCACATCTGTGACCTGTAATGCAGGATGAGGTCAGCGCCAGCAGACTGGGCAGGGGTACGTGATCCTCACCATGCCTCCTTGGGGCAGAGTTAGGAATCGTATCAGCCAAGGGAATGTAGGTATATGTGGTATGTTTTGGAATAAAAAGAAATTTAGATAGTTGGGTTTTATTTTCTTCATAAAACTGACTTCAGGGACAAATTTATTTCTACCAAGGTAATTGCTGAATTCTCCTCCTGCCCCCCCCCTTTAATATTTATTTAAGAAACAGAGGAATGGCTCCCATCTACTGGTTCAGTCCCCGAAAGCCCAGTGGCCCGGAGTGGACCAGGCCAAAGCTGGGAGCCAGGAACTCAGTCTGGTTCTCCCACACGGGTGGAAGAGACCCAGCTAATGAGGCGTGACTGCTGCCTCGCAGAGTCCATGTTGGCAGGAGGCTGGAGTCAGGAGCCAGAGCCAAGTGTCCAGTGCAGGCTCTCTGACGGGGCTGTGAGCATCCTGACCCTAGGCCACACCTGCCCAGCCTTCTGCAGCGTTTGTAAGGCCTCCATCCTTTTCCCTGAGTTCTCCCTTCTTTCCTCTTCAGTCTCCAGCTAACTTTTTAAAAACCATTTGAGCAGACAGTAAATTCATTCCATATTTTTGAACACCTGCTCTGAGGGGCTTCTCCAGGTATGCCAGGATCATGCGAGCAGGTCTACATAAAAATTGAAAGCAGGTGGCAGACCTGGCCATATTTAATGATGCAGAGACACTGCCCTTGGCAAAAGGTTAATGCAACCGTGCTATAAGGGATGCCACCTGGAGTTTAAATTTAGTTTGCGTTTAAATGCGTTAAAATTCCTATTTCGAATAAGAAGCTTCCTATTGTCTTCCTTTTTTGGATATTGTGCCTCCTCTAGGTGGCCAAGAACTGCCCCTTCCCTGTGCTTAGGGCCTACTGGTATGTTTTTGTGATCAACTTGTGCAGCATTTGCATTGCTTTCATTAATTTATTTTTTTTTTACATTAAAGTTGAGTTGCAAAAACAGTGTATATGTGTGCTTTGTGGGACTGAAGTGTGCCAAGCAAAAAGACGGAAGAACGTGGGTATCTGCTGCATGAAGGCTGCCTTGACCTGTCAGGGTGACCAAGCTGGTTCATGATTCATTGCAATGGAAACTGTTTCAGTGAAACTTGGTGTTTTAACAATAAGCTGATTTTTAAAATTTCTTACTTTTTACTTAGTTGAGAAAGAGGGGTCCCATCCTCTGATTTACTCCTCAAACACCAATAATGATAGGGCTGGGCCACACCAAAACTGGGAAGCAGGAACCCAACCTGCATCTTGCACGTGAGTGACAGGAACCCAGTCACTGGAGCCATCACTGCTACTCCCCAGGGTCTGTGTTGGGAGGAAGCTGGCGTCGGAGATGGAGCTAAACCTCGAACCTGGTTGCTGTGACAGACTTAGAGATCACATGCCCACCCACTCGAGAACAAGTATGTTTCTCCTTCATGTCATGCGTCCGACATAGTGGTGGAGATGCCACTTTGGACACCTGCATTCTGAATGAACGCCTGGGTCAAATCTGACTCTGCCCTCAATTCCAGCTTCCTGCTGATGCAGACCCTGGGAGGTAGCAGTCATGGCTCAAGGAATTAGGTCCTGCCACCCACATGGGAAACCTGGACCGAGTTCCAGGGTGTTATTTGGGGTGTGAACCAGTGGATGTGGCATCTCTCTCCCTCCCCCACTCGTGTGTGTGTGTGTATGTATGCATGCATGCCTTGTTATTTAATTTTTATATTTATTTGAAAGGCAGAGTTACAGAGAGGAAGAAACAGAGAAATCTGCCTTCTACTGGTTCACTCCCCAGATGGCCACAGCAACGACCAGGGCTACGCCAGGCTGAAGCCAGGAACCAGGATCCAGGAGCTGCTTCTAGGCCTCCCACTTCAGTGGCAGGGGCCCAAGCAATTGGGCCATCTTCCAATGCTTTCTCAGGCCATTAGCAGAGAGGTAGATCTGAAGTGGAGCGGCTGGGACTAGAACCAGTGCCTATATGAGATACCAGCACTACAGGTGCTGGGTTAACCCACCAACACCACAGTACCAGCCCTGTTATTTTCAAATACATATAAATTTAAGTGATGTATGTCCAGTTTAAGAGCTCTCACCTGACTAAGGTTTCAGGCATACCTTACCTATAAGGTGGGATTTTAAAACAAAGAATAGTGAAATTTTTGTTGTTGTAGATGACTAAGAATTTTCTTAAAATACAACAGCTTTGTGGCCGGTGTTGTGGCTCAACACCACTTGTGATGCTGGCGTAGCCCTGGTCGTTGCTGTGGCCATCTGGGGAGTGAACCAGTAGAAGGCAGATTTCTCTGTTTCTTCCTCTCTGTAACTCTGCCTTTCATCCCACACCAGAGTGGTATTGCTGTGAGTCCCAGCTGCTCTGCTTATGGTGCACCTCCCTGCAGATGTGCCTGGGAAGACAGCAGATGACGACCCAGTTGCTTGGGCCCCATGTGGGAAATGCAGGAGTTCCAGGCTCCTGGTTGGCCTGAGCCAGCCCTGGCCATTGTGGCCATTTGGGGAGTAAACCAGCAGACAGGTTCTCAGATATTTTTTTAAAATGTTTACGTACCTTAAAATTCACCATCAGTCGTTTTTGCGTGACTTTTCTATCAGATGCCTGAGAAGCAGAGCTTGAGAAAGCGATTGAGTGACTGAGCAGGTCCGTTCTCGGAGAAGATGAGGGTAGGAGGCAGCTGCACAAGTTTGCAGTCTTAGCAGAAGGCCACTTTCAGCCACCCTGCCTGCCCAATCCAAGGGAGCTGGAGGACAAATGACCTCCAGAGCTGGTCCTACCCTAAGGCCAGGAGCCCTTTTGTGCTAGTCAGGCGAGCATGTGAGCAGAGAGGCAGCTTGTTTCAGCAAGAGTGGTTCTCGGAGAGAGTGACAGCTGTGACTTTTATCTGTCAGACACTCAGGCAAGTTGCCAAAAATATCTACAGCCGCCAACCCTTACATTGCTCAGATCCACTTAAAAATAAATTATTTATTTGAAAGAATTGGAGGGAGAGACAGACATCTATCCACTTGTTCACTCCCCAATGAACAATGGCCACAGCTGGGCCAGACTGAAACCAGGAGCTGCTTCTGGGTCTCCCACATGGGTACAGGGGCCCAAGGAGTTGGGCCACCTTCTGCTTTCCCAGGCTCATTAGCAGGGATTTGGATCAGAAGTGGAGTAGCCAGGACTTGAACTTGTACCCATATGGGATTCCAGAGTCATGGGCAGTGACTTTACCTGCTACACCACAACACCATCTCCTCAGATCCACTTTTTTTTTTTTTTTTTTTTGTAAGGTTTATTTACTTGAAAGAGTTACAGAGAGGCAGAGAGAACTTCCATTGTCTGGCTCGCTCCCCAAATGGCCACAACAGCCAGAGTTGGGCTGATCTGCAGCCAGGAGCTTCTTCAGGTCTCCAGCGTGGGCGCAGGGGCCCAAGGACTTGGACCATCTGCTGCTGCTTTCCCAGGCCTGGTGCCTATATGGAATGTGGCACTGCAAGTGATGGCTTTACCCACTGTGCCAGAGTGCTGGCCCCTTAGATCCACTTCTTAAAGTTCATTCCACGCAGGCAGGGTTCCCCAGAATTCAGGCTTGTCACAAGTTCTGGGGGTGTGTACAACAGGATGGACAGTGAGATGAGCTGCCCCGCATTCAGGCCCTCTGTGACGCAGACTTGATGTGGCTCTTCTGCACCTGCTGCTGCAGGTCTAGGTTTTCCTGGTGAATTGATCCTGCTCCCTTTGCCCAAGGCTGTGGTTGCATTTATAGCCCACAGGCAAGTGCAAGAGACAGTACAGATCACCTGGTTGCCAAACAGTTTCCTCCCTGCCTCTACCATGTAGCAGCACCTTTACCTAATGGTGCCCAGGGCCAATCACTCTTCCAGATGCTAACTTCTCTTAGCTTGCCAGTTTACCGGCACGTGCTGTATGCAAAAAGTCCTCCCCCACCCACTCACAGAGCCTGCAGCTCTGAAGGAAGCAGCAGTCCCCCGAGTGTGTCGCTGTGAGTGATGGCGAGCAGGGCATGCCCCTACCCAGCATTTGTTACCGGCGCGTTGGAGACAGAGCCGCATGATGACCACTGGGTTCTGTTTTTGTTTTTTTAAAAAATATTTATTTATTTATTTGCAAGTCAGAGTTACAGAGAGAGAGAGAGGCCTTCCATCCGCTGGTTCACTCCCCAATTGGCCACAACAGCCGGAGCTGCGCCGATCCAAAGCCAGGAGCCAGGAGGTTCTTCCGGGTCTCCCATGCGGGTGCAGGGGCCCTAGGACCTGGGCCATCTTCCACTACTTTCCCAGGCCATAGCAGAGAGCTGGACAGGAAGTGGAGCAGCCGGGTTTTGAACCGGCACCCATATGGGGTGCCAGTGCTTTAGGCCAAGGCGTTAACCCACTACGCCACAGTGCCAGTCCCAACCACTGGGTTTTGTAACTCCATCCTTCCATGGGTCATCTCCAAGCTGGCCTTCCCAGGAAGGTCTTTAGAGACTTCCCTTGCTGTGTCAGGGTCATAGCTTCCGGTCATGATGGTGCCTAGTGAGTCCCATGATCATGCACCTACCACTTTGCTTCCTGGGCCGTAAAGTAGTTGCCTTGGTCTGAGGTGATGATTTTTCAGGATCCTGTGTTGATAGGGCAAGTGTGAGACCCTGGAAGCTGAGTGGTGCTGGAAAAGTCACCACAGGCAGGGAGGGCAGCCCATGCCCAGAGTGCATTTCTATACCACTCAGCATGAAGCACTGCACTTTCTAAGGTGGGAGACTCCAGTGTGCTCACCCAAGGCTGCGTGACGGCTTCCAGAGGTGCCATCGACGCGGCTTCAGTGTGTACTTCCTGGCAGGTGGCTGCAGCAGTGGTGGCTCAGCCTTGGTGGAAGGCAGCGCACGCTTTGCTGTGGGGCCCATGCTCAGCCTCCAGCCCTGCCACTGTGCCTACTGCATGTGGGCCATTTTCTCAAGCCATCAGCAGGGAGCTGGATCAGAAGTGGAGTAGCTGGGACTCGAGCCGGTACCCATGTGGGATGCCAGTGTCGCAGGCCGCAGCTTGACTCGCTATGCCACAACACTGGTCCCAGAGATGTTTTATAAATGTTTATTTTCAAATGCTTGAAAGGCCGAACAATAGAGAGATAAATGAGAACTCCCACCTACTGATTCCATTCCCCCAAACGCCTGCAACAGCTTGGATCGGAACAAGCCAAGCCAGGAGCCTGGAAATCAGTCTGGGTCTCGGGGCTGGCACTGTGGTATAGCAGGTAAAGCCAGCGCCTGCAGTGCCGGCATCCCATATGGGCGCTGGTTCAGGTCCTAGCTGCTTCACTTCTGACCTGGCTCTCTGCTGTGGCCTGGGAATGCAGTGGAGTCCTTGGGCCCTGCACCCCTATGGGGGACCTGGAAGGAGCTCTTGGCTTCAGATTGGCTCAGCTCTGGCCATTGCGGCCATCTGGGGAGTGAACCAGCAGAGGGGAGATCTCTCTCTCTCTCTCTCTCTCTCTCTGCCTCTGCCTCTGCCTCTCTGTAACTCTGCCTTTCAAATAAAAACAAATAAATCTAAAAAAAAAAAAAAAAAAACACCTGGGTCTTCCACATGGGTGTCAGGAGCCCAGCATTCCAGCCAACACCAGCTGTCTCCCAGGATACACTATCAAGAAGCTGGATCAGAAGTGGAATAACCAGCACTTGAACCCACAGTATGGTAATAGGATGCTGGCATCCCCAGTGGTGGTTTAACCAGCTGTGCCACAGCACCACCCCAAGAATGCATTTTTAGTTCAGCAGTCACCTGCTATGTCTCCAAGCTTCTGGAATTCTGTTCTAGTAAAGAGACCACATCCTGCACAGTAGCTGTCATTAGACTACTACTTGGTTAAGTTTTGAGGACACCGCTGTCATCCTCTGTGAGTCAACCAGTCTTTTCAGGAACCAAATTAAATGGATAAACAAGAGTCTAACAGGACATCC